GTCAAAAGTTCCCAAGATAAAGCCCAAAGGAACTATGGTGGACAAATATAAACTTCTGAAACATAAGAAAGAATGGATTTAGGAACCTACAAACCCCAAATAAAAGCATTTTTTGGTAGGACATTGTAGAAATTCAGAATCTGGATTAAGGATAAATAAGGAAAAAGTTCTGTCAAAGTGTACGCACGCACCCACACTGAGGTAACCATGGTCCTTTCTCTGGTGCACAACAAGCACCAGAAGCCCGCGTGGAGCCGTGGCCAGGCCGTGGTGCTCTGGCGACCCCATCTAATCAGGAACATGTGTGCAGCCAGCACACGCCAGGCAGACATGCCACTTCCTGAGCAGCCATCGACTGACACATCAAACGGACAAAGCTCCGCAACACTAAACAATTCGGTTTGGCTTTTAAAATAAAATGAAGAATTTAATTAAGCAAATAGATCCAAAATCCTGTTAAATATGAGATCAGAAAACCTTTCTAAAATTATAGACATAATCTCCTGCAAAGAGAGTTTTAGTTTGAAGTACAAGCAACTCAGTAGTTCAATGAGAAATTGATTAGATGGAAACATTCGCTCTATCAGGATTAAAAGTTACTTTGCCAACTCAGGCTTGAGGAAGTAGATCAAACAGGGTTGAGGAAACCAAATACTCCTCTTTGGGTGCTTTCCCGGGTGCCTCCAGATCTGATCTTCATAAAGAGATGCTCTGTGACCGATCCTGTGCTCATCCTGTTTTATGCGTGAGAGAACATTCAGTCGCGCTGAATTTTGGCAAAGGAACTAGGACAGGACGAGGATGCGTGGGAGGGTGTGGGGCATCAGGCTGGGTTGGGGGGTTCCACAGGCTCAGCATCCTGGTCCTCCAGGGGGACGCCAGTGCATGTGGACCACGCACTGCAGAGTCAGCGTCCTCGAGTCCTCAAGTCCTCGGTCACCTAGATTCCATTCATTCACAGAATAAGTAGCAGCTACCGTACCCGTGCTTCTATTATGCGAACACATGACACTGTCAATCCCCTGACAGATGTAGTTTGCTTTCAATAAAATAAGGTAAAAAGAGAAAAAAAATTTTTCTGTATTTAAAAGAGCATGGCTGATCCACACTAATACAGAAGGAAAAGCTCCCTGTGCATATACCATCACACGATGCTCACGTCTGGTCTGAGACTGGTATACTTTTCTGGTGTTTCTCTGGTGGAGCAAAGCTGAGGCTACCTGGATTGCTTCCTAGGAAGGTGGATTCCCGAGTCCCACCCAGGGGTGGGTCCTCGCCCCAGTCCCCCTGCCTGCTGCAGTGGTCTGCATTCACCCAGGCCTGCAGCCTCACCCACTTCGTTCCTAGCACTCTGACAAATACAGTTGTGAGAAGCCCCACCCAGGTTCCCCAGCACACAGGCCCTTCCCTCTGGAGTCCCTGAGCTGCTCCACACTCTGGAGCTGAGCTGGCTCTCAGCCCACCAAGCTCAGACTGTTCCCATGTCAACTCTAAGGCCACAGACGTCTTCCCTAAGACCTGAGTCGTGCTACGACCACTAGAAGTTTATATTTTCCTTTAAATCCTTTAGCCTACTTGTGGCAGTTACAATATGGTTTATCATCTCTGTAATCTGTTTCTTTTGACTGTTTTTTCTCATCCTTTGTTTTTCTCACATTTTCTTGCTTCCCAAACTGCCTGGTCTTTTTTTATTGTGTGCTGGGCACAACGGATGCTGCATCATTGAATGTCTAACTTTGTCGTCCTTATTTACAGTTTCAAGACCAGCCTGGGCCTCGAAGGTGTGTCCTCCCTGTGATGCCCTTAGAGGGCTGGGTGTGAGCACTCCTGTCTATTAGCTGTGTTCCCCTGAACCTTAGTTTCCTTTTTTGTACCATAGGCATTACAAACATCTGCCTTGGCTTTGATCTGAGGGTTGAGAACAGATTTCCAGTGTCAGATGCCTGTAGTGGGTTCACCAGACTCTTCCCCTCTCACTGTCCCAGGCATAAGCCTTCGGTCCCTGTCTAAAGCTGCTTCCCTCCCGACTGTCCCTGCGACAGGTGGTCAGTCATGTGGGCAGCATAGCCAGGGAGCTGGCCTGGGGCCTCACCACCCACACAGTGAGTCCGCTCCTGCTGGGGACTTGCATCTGGGAGAGGGCAGCACCTTGTTTTGAAGACTGGGGCCTCAGGGTAAAGCCAGTGTGACCCTTCAGAAGTGGCCCTGTCAGGACTGTGGCTGTCCCCTGTCCTGGCCACGTGTGTGCATTCTCCTCTCTGCAGCCTCGGACCTCACAGGCCTGAACGGAGTGGCCTGGTGCTGCTCCCCGACACCCTCTCCCTTCTCCTCCCACCCAGGCCTGTCCTGGGGCACCCCACCTGGCCTTCTCCCTCCTGCTTCCACCTGCCCCTGGGCAATTCATGGATGAAGGGTTTCAATCAGACCTGTGCAGTCGGGCTCTCGCTGGGACCCCATCCCCAGCATGGGCAGAGAGAGCCCATGGCTTCCCACAGCCTGCAGGATGGCGTTAGACTTGCCAGTGTGCATTCAAGGCCCTGCAAAGCAGGATTACCTCAAGGTGGGATTTCAGCCTTCATTCCTGTGGTTCCATTCTTCGTCCTCTGAACCCCAGTAGCACGCAGCCAGGGGAGTTTCCACCCCAGCGCCCCTGCTCCCAGCCCCCTAGCCTTGGCTAATTACAAACTCCTGCTCGGCCTGAAGCTATACAGAAGGCCCCTGCTCACCTCTAGCACTCAGCCACTCCCTTCCTGGGAACCAAGGCCCTGGGGATGCAGGGGAGGAACCCGGAGAAGCCAGACTGGGTTCTATCTGCTTCTCCAAGGCTGTTTTAGCTGCCGGGGGGCCAGCCCTGCCTGGTCTGGAGTGAAGCTCATGCCGGCCCAGTGACACAGTGACATGCTCCCTCGGAGCCACCAGGGCCTCCACTGGCTCGGGTTCACCCTGCAACCCCCACCTGGGTGCCTCCTGCCCTGCTGCTGGAAGTCCCTGGGCTTTCAGTCCCGAGAGCATTTCTCTGACCCCACAGGAGTGGCTCCAGAGCTGGGAAGCCAGCGGTGCCCTAGCCCCTCTGTGATCCGGCTCTCAGTGAGCTCCAGGGAGACGTGATCATTGCATAGAATTAGATGAGAAAGGGCCTCTGATTTGAGAAGCATGATCCGTAGAGTGCATCTATATGCATAACACCCACTGGCATGGGTGGCGGTGGAGTCACTGACTCATAAAAATGTCATTTCCTGTGATTTGTATAAATTACAGTAAATATGCCGGTAATCACCCACATTAGCTGCTGAAACACGGGCGCCGTCTGGAGTTGAGGCCGGGGACCTCGCCGAGGCCTCGAGAGGTAGACCCCACAGGTGCAAATTGACACCTAGGAAAACAGTAGTTAATACACGCTAGAATTTGGATAAGGGGAAAAGTGCTAAAATGAATGTATGTCAAGCAGACAAATTTGGACTTCTCCAAGAGGATCTGTCACGTCAAACAGGAAATAGCTATAAATTACTCGTAATAGTAAAAGTCTTGTCATTTACAACCTCTAAGGCGCCGGGCTCATTTAACACATCAACTCACAGATAATGAGCAAGGAGAGTTCACGGGTGTTTATCCCACCTTTCACTCGTGAGAGCTGGGGTGAGCTGCATGTGAGAGTGGAGGACCCCACAGTGACCGTTGGGCTTGGCCGCGGAGCGAGCAGAGGCAGCCTCGCTGCCCCGCGTGTGCAGATGCAGGGACACTTCCTGCTCCTATAGGAAATTAAGTCATGATGAGCAACGGCACACCCTGGGTCATCTCAAATGCGTGATGCCCAGTAAGTCCCAGCCGGCCTGCTCTGTCTGTTTTCCTTAGAAGCTATTTGAAGTCATTGCAGCCGAGAGTCTGCTTCCACAGGCCAGACACAGCCTCAGTGTCTGTAATCACTGCTGCTCAGTTCCCTGAGAAGGATCCAGAGCACTGCCTCCATTGAGGGTCCCCCACACCCACTGCAGGAGAGAAGCCAGCGCTCACAGCATTTCCCAGGGAGGCCAGAGGCCCGGCCAGGCAGGACACCCAGACCCCTTTGGCAGAGTGTGAAGGGACCATGGGAAGCAGGTACTCAGGCAGGGGTGATAAGCCCTCCCGCAGGGTGGAACTGTTTGCTCTCAGATGGGCAGAGGGTGTGGTGGAGGCCTGGAGGGGAGGCAAGGCCGCTGCAGGGTGAGCATGCACCTCATTTGCGCGCGCTGGGTGGGCATCAGGAGCTATGACAGGCAGAGCTGGGAGGCAGGACACCGGCCCGGACTGGCGCTTGTGCCTCTACCTCCCCCTGTTCCTCTCCTTGGGCTCCACCGGGGCTGAACTCTGACAGGAACAGGAGGGGTGTGTGCTGGGGGCCACTGTCAGGACAGCCCCACTCATGGGTGCACGGACACACCCGCAGAGCAGACATGGGTGCATGCGGCTGCACGGGCACACATGCACACACCCACACCTACACAGGCACACACCTGGCGGGCACACGTGCCCCGGCACAGGCCACACAGCCTCTAGAGAAGGCCCAAGTCTGCACTGAGGCCTTGCCATCCTGTGAGTTGCCCTGGTCCTTCCTGGAGACTCTGGGGAGGTAAAAGTCAGCCTGCGTCCCCCGAAGGAACACAAGCTAGTTTAAAAGAAAACACTTAATCTTAAGAGAAGTTAAAATGTGTAAAGTAACCATGAACTGGTACAGTTTAAATATAGGGTGACTGTTTAAATTTAAAAATGTATGACAGTGAAAGACACATAGCCATTGATCTCCCTCTCACTTCAGACACACTCCTCTTGCTTCTTGCTACTGTCTGAAGCAGTTCTGGAGTCCTCTTTTGTGGGGTCTTTACAAGAGGCCTTGATTTTAAACTGCGGCGAATGCTGCTGCCAAGCACCATGCCACAAAAAGGCGACTGGTAAAAGCGGGACGCTGTGTCCTCCTTCAGTTTTTCACTCAATCTGACACTGTGCAACTCCTGGCTCTTCCCCAGGTCAAAACAACTGTGAACGGTCAATGTGCTGAATCGATTCAGGACATGGAGGCAGCCAAGGCAGTGCAGCTGAAGACCCTCAGGAAAGAGGACTCCAGAGCGGCTGCAGAAAGCGGCAAGGATGGTGGGATGCATGTGTTCGGAGGGAGGGGGAGGATTCTGAAGGGGCTGTGGCACTGTGTCTTTTACTATAAAGTTTTGTAAATGTAAGGAGATGTAAGCATTCACTGTCTGGTTTTTTTTTGGTGCTGGGGAACGAACTCAGGTCCTTGCGCTTGCACAGCAGGTGGCGAAACCACTGAGCTAAATCCCCAGCCCTCATTCACTGCATTTTTAGTAAAACTTCATGGTTCCTTGCATTCTGCTGGTTAGCCTGGAACTGCTGCTCTGAACCCAGGCCTCTCTTCACAGTAGGTCGGTCTGCCTAGACTGGCCAGTGGCGCAGGATGGAGAGGAGTGTTGACATGGGCCTGTGTGGGCACCGGGAGAATGTGGGCCTGGTCAAAGCATTCAGCTTCATGTGCTGTGAAGGAGGCACAAAGGCTCTTTCTGGAAACCCAAGACCGGAAGTAGCCACCCCCACTGGAGTCTGCGACCCCAACTGAAACAGCCCCACAGCTAGGGTGTGCTGACATTTTAGTATCTGCGTGTATCCGGCCATGTGAGCAACTGCCTTTCTCTACTTTAGGTAACTTCTGTTAAAGCCTATAGCCTACATCTTTTTTTTCCCTACATCTTTTGGCTCAACTGCTAGATTATTATGATAAAAGAATATTTATGTTTTTATCTTTTCTTTCTTCTTTTGTGAATTAAATGAATAATTGTTTCAAGTCTGCATTCTAAAATTATGTATAACTATAAAGCATTGTTGCACATGTTAGCTGCACATGATGTTTAACATACTTGTTAATTTGTGACAAGGTTACTTTTTATAGAACAATGGGTGATTTTGAAAATATTTTTGGTGAAATGTTACAAACTCATTATTCAATTAACTATGCATCCTTTCCAAGATATAAATTTTAAATGTTTTTATCATGTCTACAGCGTAAATGCCATTACCACCAGACTTACAATGGGCAGCATGCTTTCCTTTCCCAGTGGCACGGAACGTAAAGGTGCCTATGAGGCTTGTTGGAACAGAGATGTAGAAGCAGCCTGTACACACTCTCGTCCGCAGGCTGAAGGTGAAGAAAAACAGCGCGTGTCAAGGACCGGATGTTCTTTGAGAATCTATAAAGTGTAACCCCAGATTTCAGCACAACTGTTTCCTCCAAACCACTTTTTCCTTGTGCTCGGTGGTCCACACTGGTTGGCAGTGTGTCTCAAGCAGAGACTGCCTGTCGGCTCCATCAACTGAAAAAGCTACAAGTAACATTCTAGAAGATTCTTAGACAATAAAGCAAAGCTGAGTATTTCCCGGGTGGCACCAAAGCTGATGAGAAGAAGAAAAAAGAGCCTGACAGGAAAGAAGAAGAAAAGGAAAGAAAACTCAAAGTCCCTCTGCACGGGACTGAGTCGGTGTTGTGTATTTCAGGAGAGCGTGCAGACTGCACCCAAGGTGTGTGGCCCTTGGTGCTGCTCTCTGGAAACTACGCAGCAGTTACTGTCACACAGAAAATTCCCTGCTGCCCCAGGCTGTGCCTCACTGCACTGCCAGCCGCAACCCCTTTGGGGTCTTTTCTCAGAGCCAGGAGCTCTGGGGATCTTAAATGTTAAGGCCGTATGAGGTGTGTGGGGAGCATGGGGAGAGGAGCTGTGTTTAGATGTTTTTATTTGAAGTGCTCAGGATGAAGGACGGTGCCGGGCTGGGCTGGAAAACCCACCTCTTCGTGGAGCACGCTGCCGGCCAGCGACACCGGCCCTTGCCAGGCACCCTCCACCCCCTCTCTTGTCTCAGGCCGGAGCAGGCTGCCGTTCACTCTCGGCCTCTGCTCTCTGCTCTCTCCTCACCCCATTCTTTCCCGGCCCATCCTATGTGAATGGTTTAAAGGGAATTACCTATTACTTCAATTATTTGTTTCTTATCAACTGATGTTAAACTACAAGGATTTGCATTGAAAAGACACAAAGAAAGAGCAAGTCATGGCACATGGCCAAATGAAAGAGTAATGTTCTGGTGAATTTAGCCTAAATAATTTACTGCTGTATAAAAGTGGAAAAGTGGAAGGTGAACCCTCTGACCAATAAATCTCCCTGCCCATGAAACCCTTATCTGGTCGCCTCCGATACATTCCACATGAGGAAGCCATCACTGCTGGCTCTGGTTAGCTATTCCTAAACCTTGATCTTCTGCACTCCGCGTCCTAAATATGGATAATTAGCATCAGTTTATCACGCTTCTGCATATTTTCTCTTCTCTCCAAACACGCATGCTTCTGTTGGCTGCCATTCTGCTACGGAAGATTATGGAGACAGATTGCAGAGAACGAATGTGCTAAACGAGATTAGGAAGGAATAGAAATAGCAACTTGGCCAATAAATTCCTCGTGAGAGCCTTATCATGCAATTACACGTTGACTTGCTCCACACTCTCCTCGCCTCTTAATCCAACGCCCCCACCAGGAATAAAATTTCGCTAATTTCTGGATTGCTGCAGATCCCCCTGACTTGCTACTGAGAATGGTTGGAAGGAGAAACGCTGCTGAAAACATCATGTCAAACTTTATAATAAAAAGTAAACTCTGAATGTCAGCGTGGGTGGTGCATTCCAGGGTGTCTGAAGCATCTCCCAGTGAGTGAGGCTTTTGGCTTCTCTGGCTGCTCCACCTTTGGGATTCAGGACTGTCAGAATGGAGCGCCTTGCTCCTCGAGGGACTATCTGATGTGTTTCAAACCAGGACAAAGCTTCCCCTGCCTTTCTGACTTAAGACGATGGATGACCGATAGCAGTTGCGATGCCCCTCAGGCATTCTGGGCCAATCACTTGACCTCTAGTGCAGTCTACTCCTTGGTCGCAGGGCTGCTTCTTATTGGAGGCCCCTCCTCGTGTGGTGCTATGGCTTCTCATGCTCATTAATGTACAGAGACAGGAAAACCCCTGCCCGTGTGTGCCTCCCGAGGGCAGCCCAGAGCTCTGTAATAGGGCATCCCCAGGGGGAGCTCTCCTCTTGCCTCTCTGCCTGCTAGTGTCTTCTCCCCAGGGCTTCACGATAAGTTAGATATTTAAAGAGGCCACGAAGAATTCCCGTCTACCAGAGGACTGTTCATGGCACAGAGCCACCATCAGGCCGTGGGGCCCCATGGCAGCATGGTGCTGGAGGAGCAGAGAGGCACCCACAGGACTGGGCTTGTGTTTACCACAAGGAGTGAAAGTCTAGATCCAGTATGAAACCAGGCACTTGGCTTGTGGCAGGGGACCGGCTTCCAGTTCGGTGGAAAGAATTAATTTGCCAAAGAGATTCTCAGCAATTATAAGGAGAGTTTTGATGCATCGATTATAATGTCGCCTTCACTTTCTTTCCGCCAAGAAATTTCTACCAGGATTCACGGAGGAGGAGAGTGTCATGTGAACATGCCGGAGAGAGGACCTGGGCCTTCGCCTTACAGCCAGGCCCTGAGCTCAGCACCCACTGGGAGGACCCAGCTGCCGCTCAGCTGCCAGGGTGCAGGTATGCTGCCTCCCCTTGACAGGTGTGGGTTTGCCTTTTGCAAGCAGCCTGGTCTTGTACTGGCTGCCAAAGATTCTCCTTCCAGAAAGAAAGCCTGTGGGAGCCTGCATGTGGCCGAGTGGGAGAGGGGCCCAGCCCGGGCGGCCTGTCTGTGGGCTCCACTCAGGGGAAGAGTGCAGCTGAGCTGTGCCTGTGCTGACCCTGCCCTTCGGCCCTGCAGGCACCTGGATGCCACCTGGCCAGGACACAGGGCAGGAGCTCCACTTCCTGCACCTCCTCTCCTCCACGGGCCTAAATCGGAGGTGCCTGCAGGGAGGGTGGGCACCCTGCTGGGTGCCCTGGGGAGCCACAGAAGGCCAGGGGGCTGCACCATCCGAGCTGGGGCCTGCAGGGGGCTTGGAGCTGGGCTCTTCGGGGAGGGCGGCACCCCAGGCTGGGCAGCCCGGGGAGGAGGTGTTATTAACGACTGTCCTCCCCTTCCTATGTCATATTTCCTGGACTGGGGAGCTGTGCGGAGGGGTGGCGTAGGAGGGGCCGCTTGCCATTAATCTGGGAACAAACGGCTAACCTCGGTGACTGGTATTTTCGCTTTTCTTTTCTCACTTTTCTCAGTGTGGGGAAAGCAGTCAAGCCCGCGCGGTGATTGTGAGGGGCTCTGCTGGAATTTGGCAGCGCGGAGGCTTGGAGCGCAGCCCCATGCTGGCTCCTATTCAGCGGCCGGTTCCCCTCCAGCTCTGGAAGTTTCACTCAGCCGTGCACTCAATGGCTCCACAAAGCTGATTACAAGCTCCAGCGCATTCCTGAAGGAGCCAAAGCGACGCAGGTGCAAACGAGCCGAGGGAGCCCCTTATCCCGGTGACAGAATGGGACAAGCTGGGAAAGGCTCGGACCACACAAATCCAGGCTCACCAGGCAGCAGAAAGCCTGCTTGGGAACCGGGGGTCATTATCCGACCTATTCACGCCGGGCTGCGGCCGGGCAGGCGGGCGGGGCTCTGCGCGGGCTCCTCGCCGCCGAGGCCGCGCAAAGCCCAGCCGGCTTCGCCCGCGCGCCCGGGCCCGAGCAGCGGGAGGCTCCACGCGGGCGCCCGGGTCCCGCGGCAGGGCGCAGCGGGCAGGGCGCGCCCACGCGCCTTTGTCTGATAACTAATTTGAGTTAATGCGATCTGTATGGAAAGCTAACAGCGGATAATTGTCTATTTTCTCGCCAACAATCTCCGTCACAGTCACTTATCTGGAGACCTGCGGTTCGATTAATCGCTACGTCCCGGAAGCGCGGGCCGCACACGCGCGGTGGGCACCGGCGCCCCGCACCCTGGCCGGCGGGAGGACGTCCAGCCCCGGCCCCGCTCCCTGTCGGCCCCGCTCCCGGCCGGCCCCGCTCTGGGCCCAGCTCCCCGCGGGCGTCCCAGTGTTTACGCCTAGCCGAGCCAGGGCGGCTCGGGGACCTCGCCGCCGCTCCGATCCCGCCTCAGCCCCGCCGGCAGAGACGGGGCGGGTGGCGGCCGCCTCTGGGGAGAGGGTTGTGTGACAGAGTTTTGTCTCCCCAGCTAAAGTCAGAACATCAGCGTCAACTGCGAATCGCTCGGCGCGGACTTCGCCTGTGCAGCTGAGGCCTCTGCTGCCCGAGGGACCGAGAGGGCAACTTCTCAAAGTGGAGTTTCTGGAAAACAGCAAATTCAGACTCCACTGGGACAGTTTTGGGCCACAGAAAAAAAAGCATTGGCTTCCTGTTTGCAGGAGACTCAAACTTCCGTGAAGGAACAGGAAATAAAGGCGGGAAGCTGCTGTGTGTGTGGCAAAGCCGCCTGCGCTCCTCCCAGGCGCGTGCCCTGAGATCCTGTCAAAAAGCCTTCTCCAGCCACCCTGAGGGCCCTAGGAGCAGCAGGTCGCCCCAGCTCCGCGCTCTTTCTGGCGGCCCTTGGGAGGCACCTACTTCGCCTCTCACCTGAATCTCCCACCTCGGCCATCTAGAGGGATCTGTGGACAAAGCTGAGCCCAGCGACAGCCCTGGTCAGTCAGGCGGAACGGTCTATGCAAATCGGGGCCCGGGAACAGTGCCCCTTTGTCCTGGCCTTTCAAAGCCCGGCAGCTGGGGACTTGTGCCTTGGACCCTCGGCGCCCACAGCTATGTCATCATGGCAGAACGTCAGATGCTGAAAACTATACGACCTGAATTCATGAGCAGCCTTCTTGGGAAGGTCCCCTTTCCGGTCCGCGTCAAAGCCCAGAGCCGCGTGCCGGTGGGTCAGGGCAGGTCGGCCGGACCGCTGCAGTGAGGGGAGAGGTCACCTGCCCGCCCGGCTCCCCAACCTTCCTAACTGTCCCCTGGGGCCCGCGCTGATGTCTGACACTGGCGACCCTGAAATGTCTCCCCAGTCCCACCTGATGCAGATTGCAAGTTTCGGAGACAGCAAGCAGCCGTGATATCCAGCTCTGGGAATGAGCAGAGCGTCCGGCCTCTGCCTGCTCCAGAGTGCCAGGGAGGGCATGGAAGCTCCCTGGGTGAGAGCGAACTCCAGACAGTGCTCACCAGACAGCAAACTCCTTTTTAAGCCAGCGTGCAAGGCATGAGCTTGGGGCCCCTGTGTGGAAGTTCGACTCCCTCTGGGTCGTGGGGTCCCTCAGTGCTCCCCTTCCTGGGTGACCTTGCAGCCCCTGGGGCTGGGGACCCATAAATGAGACCTGGGCTGTCACCAGTGCCACGGCCCAGTGTGCGCCTGCGGGGCGGGGGGCCCCACGTTCCTGGGAGGCCCAGGGCCTGAGCTCACCCCCACCCCCGCTCCCCAGCCCTCGAGTGCTGGCCCCTGAGCTCTGAAGGGTGCCCTGCTTCTCTGGAGGATCCTGCAGCCCAGGCCCTCTGCCTGCCGCCTCCTCGCACTGGAAAACGTTCCCAGGAAAGAGGTCACCTGGAGACGCCACCAGGTCACTTCCCAGTGAGAGCTGAGGACCCAGGGACCCAGGGAGCATCAGAGGCAGACGTGCTGGTTCTCCCCTCCCTCCGCGGTGAGGCTGCTGCACCCCAGGCCTCTCCTGTGTGCCCCAGCTCTTCCCCGAGTGGCCAGTGCCCTCCCCAGGTGCCCCCCACCCACCAGATGACTTCTCTTTTTTTTCCTTTCTCCCATCCCACCCTCCTTTTTGTTTTCTTCTTTTGCAGTGTTGGTGATTGAACCCAAGGTCTTTTCAATGAACTACATCCTCAGTCCCTTTTTTTTTATTTTGAGACAGTCTTGCCAAGTTGCCCAGGCTAAGTTTGAAGTTGTGATCCTCCTGTCTCAGCCTCCTGGAGTGCCAGGATTATAGCCAACCACCACCAAGCTTGCCTGTTTGACAAACTGAGGAGCGAGGGTTCAGCGGGGCTGCAACCAAATACTACTTTGTAGTTGCAACATGGAAGGCTGGGAAACAAACAGGAAAGGCCGCACAGGGCGTGGCCGCGTGGCCGTTGGGTTGGGAGGGTGCTGGCGCAGCTCTGACTGTCGACGCCTTTGGGCCTCGGAGCGCAGCTCCTGGGGGTCTCTGGACCTTGGAGGGCGCTGCCCAAGGCCGCACCCCCGGAGACCAGAGTTTGGGCCGTGAGCACGTGGGGTATCCAGGGCCTGAGTCGCCTGGAGGCAGAGGCTGTGCCAGCCTGGGTCTCCGACGTCGACCCAGCCTGTGGACCACGCCTGGGTTCAGCAGCCTGCGGAACTCGAGTGCCAGAGCGGCCAAGCGGTCCGGGTGGGTGGAGCTGTGGCCGAGGGGCCTTGTCCGTCCCTGCACACAGGTCCCAGGGCTGCTGACCTCCGCATCGGCTTGGCCCTTCTGCTCTCACACACACTCACTCCCCAGCATCGTCTCTGCAGATGGTCTCAGGGTTGTGGCGTCGCACACTCTCTCACACTCTCCGTCCGCCCTCAGTCTCCACAGAGCCGGTGGGGGGATGCTGGGTGGGTGGCACCCGACTCCCAGGGCAGGGAAGCCACAAAGCCGGCAGGGGCCCCTCGTGGAGGCCCCCACGTGTGCTTCTGAGCCCCAGGCTGCCTCTCCTGTGCAGCACGGTGGTGCCGGGTCCCTGACACACAGGCCACGACCTGCCCTCCGTGCTTCCTGGTCCTGTCGGCCCTGCTCATGACTCTTCGTCGACCACCCTTGGACGCTGCCTGGACGTGCGCTGCCAGGAAGGTGGATGCCAGCAGGGCTGTGAGCGCAGAGACTCACGAGTGTGACGTCCGCACCCACATAAAGATGCTGATGGGAAATGCGTGGGAAACCCATTCCTCCCCGAGTGTTGGCTACAGTGTGTGTATTTTGGGTGTATTGGGTCTAATAAAATATATTCTTGAAATCAATCTTCCCGGTCCCTTTTACTTTTTTATCTTTTGGAGTACCGGGGATCAGACTCAGGACCTTGCACTTGGGAGGCAGGTGGCAGAACCACTGAGCTAAATCCCCGGCCCCCTTTTACTTTTTTACAAAAGGAACAGTGGGAAGACTCCAACTGACCTGCTTGGCTGCCACGTGGGCTGTGTGGGGCTGTCCTCAGGCAGCCGCAACCTCGTGATCCTTCGGGGACAGAGGAGGGAAGCAGAGCCTGGTCCCACAGAGGCGAGCAGAGGCCTGGCCCCAGCACTGGCTGTCGTGGGGGGGCCACTTTTCTTTCATGAGGATTCTGGGTGGGAGTTACATCTCGTATTTATCGCTTGGTTGTTCTCTTTCCGTTCCAACTTTCATGCTCCCTGAAGACTGCACTGAGGTCTCAGTCGGCAATCTCAGGTGAGCTTGCCAGCAGCCTCTGAAGGATCTTGCTGCAAACGCTGGGCAAGGCCAGGGTTGGAATATGCCGGGTGCTGCCTGAGGCCACAGTGCCGAGACAGACCCTCCCCGGTTGTTTTCAAATTTCAGGCTAGCACTCTGGGACTTTTCCGTGTAAATATGTCACCACACCCAACACTGCAACTCAAAACAACAAGACAAAAACTAGGAGCAAGACTGTGGATCTGGGGAAAGGCCTCAGACAGAACAAAGCTACAAACACGGGGCGCTGCACTCGGGCCACGAAGGCTATGAGAAGACACATCTATCACTTCTTTGTGTTTGGTACAGGGGATTGGACCCAGGGCACCCTGCTAGTAAGATATGTCCACAGCCTTCTTTAAAGTTGATACCGGGTCTTGCTAAATTACCCAAATTGGCCTGATCTTGCAATGCTCCTGTTTCAGCCTCCCCAGTAGCCTGAATTACAGGCATGTGCCACCTCTCCTGGCTTGTAAACATTTTATTTTAAAAAGCATTTAAAAATACTGTACATAACATTTTAGACACAGGATTTCTGGGAGTGAAGTTATAAAAATTAGAAATCATATTTTGCCTTTTGGTGATAGCAAATGAGAAAAGATTGTTCCACACTCACTGCTGTGAACAGACTGCACATGACCGATGTGCAGTCACTCCCTTGGCACACTCGACGCGTTTGTGGTCTACTTACTCGGATGGTTCTATGATTTTGCTGTTGTTTTGAGACAAGGTCTCACTATTCAACCCAGGCTGGCCTTGAGCTCACAGCACTCCTCCTGCCACAGCCTCCTAAGAAACAATTCAGCCACAATGTGCAGCCTACTTTGCCAATAAACAGAGATAACTTGAGTGAAACTGATTTTTTAAATTACAGAAGGAACTGTGCTGTCACTCATTCTTCCTACAACCCTTTACTTCTATTTTTGGCTACTTTTTATTTAGCGATGGAGAAAAATGTTGTAAAATAACACAGAAGGTCAAAGTTTTGGGGGTTAGCAAATTATAATGGTTTATGTTTTGGGTTCGTTCCTTGGAAAATACCATTTTTGTTATGGGAGCTTCTATTCAATCAGTGAGGAACCAACACAAGTCTGTTAGGCTTTAATCAAACGACCTGTATTTTTAAAGTTGCCAGGGAAATAACCAAAAACGTCCTGTGTGTTGCTGCAGAGGCTCCGGGCTCCTAGCAGAGACCCGAGGACACTGTCGCTGCCCAGCAAGGCTGCTTTGTGACGGGTCACATGTGGCCTCCTTAGGGTTACTCAGGTAGCTGAAAAACAGCAAGCACCCAGCCCCTCTGGTCAAACTCTGCTCTTGTGCCTTTTCAGAACCGTGTAGGAGAGGGAGAAGGGACCTTGGCAGACAGGGTGGAGGAGAGCAGCCCCTGGCCAGGGCAGCAGGCGGCCCCACCAGGACCTCTGGTGGCCAGCGCCTGCCAACTCTGAGGTGTGCATCCCATGCCACATTTGCTCCGTCCTGGCAAACGACCGAGGCTCTCGTTTGTCATCTCCTTCCCATGCTTCCCTAACGACTACAATGGCTTTGCACTTTCAAATATTCGCAGGCAAGATATTCCGGATAAATAACCTAAGATTAACTAATCAGGCCAATGTGGACAGAGGGCTGCATGCTGTGTCCCTCACAGAGATTATCTGGTGCCAGCGGCATGACTGACAAAGCACTACTGACTGGAAAAAAGCCTTATTACAAGATGTCTCAAAGGCAGATAAGAAAGCAAGAAGTCTACTTGTAAATGAGGGACCTTATCTAGATTTTAATATGGCTGTAAGCAAATTATAAATGTTTTGTAAGTCAGATAACTTGTATGGGAAAACACATGTGCCTAACGTTCCCATCAGCCTGTGCCAGTCTTAGAGTTTGTGTCTGTCCCTCGCCGGGCCCTTCTTTGTTCTTCTCCCCGAGATGCACCGAACTGGAGCAGAAGACCGGCAGGTAGGGGACCCTATGCCTGGGGCCAGGCTCCTGCCTGCGGATCTGCACATCACTGAGTCTACTTCTGCACTGTTTCTTCTGAAAACGGCCACGGCACCACTGAGGTGCTGGCTGCGGGACGGATCTCGAGGCCCGGGAAGATGGTTCCCCAGGCTTCCCCGGAAGGCTGGATTTGCTGGGGTCTGCAGCAGGGCTGTTCTAACAGTGGCCTCAGTGACTTTATAGGACACACGGTGATGTCTCTGTCTAGTCATTACCACCAGCATCTCTTCTTGGCCAAAGTTTACTGAATTATTTTTCTTGTTGCTGTTGTAAATATTCATCATCACAGACATTATTTAATGGCCTGATAATTTGAAACAAGGAACAGAATGGCTGTTTGTGCACACAGGCTGCGGGGGCTGCCGTTCCTGGGTGGCAGAAATGACAGCCCCTTGGCCTCGGGTCGGAACTGTGGGTCCAAGGGAAGGTGCCCTGGGCCAGTGGCCCACTGGACGGAATCCGGTAGGGAGCAGGCCCAGCGCCTCTGACTGCTGAGGAAAGCAAGCTTCGCAGGGGCTTGGGGTCCACATGGCGTCCGGCCAGCTGTGGTGGGGGCGAACTCTGCAGAGCCAGCTGTGAAACAGAAATAGACAGGCGGGAAGAGTGGGGGGCTGAGGTCCAGAATCAAGCATTTGAAACAATGTCGAGCACACAGTTTCACGGGAAATGAGGGTGTCTGGGAGCTGCACGCTCCCCTCCCCTCCTCTCCGCTCCTCAGCCCACGCTGCGCTGCGAGTCAGGTTCTCGGCCCATGCCCTCTGCAGAGCCAGGGGTCCTGCGGACGCCTCCACGGGGGCCTGTGTGTGGGGTCCTCCGCCCCCCTGGCCATTCACACTCAAGGACAGATGGGTCAGCCAGGGAGGATGCACCCCAACCTCTCCCCGCTCAGTGACTCGAGAGCCCCACCTGTGCACTGGTGGTCACCCGTGGCGCTGTGAAGCTGCAGGTCCAGCGGGCAGCGGGCGTGCTGGCCCTCTGCATGTCCCACGCCGCCCTTGGTAGGGCGCCCTGCCTCGGCCCCCCTAGCCCAGGACCAGCACAGCCAGGACTCAGTCTGAGCAGCAGGTGTGGGGCCAGTGCGGGAACCTGTTCCTCCTCCCGTTCTTCTCCGGGAGGCGCTGGAGGGAGAACTGTGCGGGGTGGAGGGCGGGAGGGTGCCCTTTCCCTCGGCCCAGCTCCGCTCCTCCTCACTGCCCCAGGGTTTCCGGCTCCGTCTCTGTCCCAGGGACCAAGGGCAGGAGGGTCCCTCAAGGCTCCCGGCACAAGAGCATCTTCCGGGGGTCTGCAGCATGGCCTCTGGTTCCCGGGCTGCAGAAGTGAACCAATGTCTTTACTGGGGTTTGTTCGGAAGCAAACACGGTGACTTGCTCCCCTTGGAGAGGCAAAGCATCCGACAGAGTGAGAGCCCAGGGCAGCTGACGCTTGCTGCACAGCTGGTGTACCCGTGGTGCGGCACAGTGCGGGACGCAGGTCTGCCGAGGCGAGGTGGGGATGTGCGGGGAGAGCGACGCACACACTTCCCACAGCAGCTCTTCCCAAATGCCCTAGGCAGAAAGGCCCCGTCACCCACGCAGAGCGACACCCTGTCTCGGTCACTTTCTCCTCGCTGAGACGGGTACCTGACACCTGTGACTACAATGAGGCGTTCACTGGGGCTCACGTTTCAGTCCACGGCGCCCGGCTCCGGCTCCGGCTCCGAGGCAGGACGGCAGGGGCCTGGGGAGCAGAGCTGCTCAGGGCACGGAGGGCAGGAAGCCGGGAGAAGGGAGGGGCGGGAGGAGAGGACCCTCCCAGGCCCCGCCCCGCCAGGCCCCGTCCCGCCAGGCCCCCGCCTCCTAAGAGCACGTTGGGCTGTAAACTCGTCAGGGGACAAATCCACCCGTGAGCACAGCATCCCCGTGATCCAGGCACCTCCTAAAAG